CAATATTCATTCCTTACATACTTATAAATGGCCACCCTCAGTCTTCTCTTCCCCAGGCTGAACAGTCCCAGGTCCCTTAGTCTTTCCTCATAAGAGTTGTCCTCCAGGTCCTTTCTCTGGACCCCTTCAAGATTCTCCACATCTTTTTTGAAGTGCAGTCTCCAAAACTGGACACAGTACTCCATCTGGGGTCTCACCAGTGCCAAGCAGAGAGGAAGTATCACTTCCTTAGCCCTGCTCATGACGCATCAGCTAATGCATCCCAGTATGTTATTAGCATTGTTGACTACAGCGTTGCATGGTCATCCTGTGATCAGCCATAACCCTGAGGTCCCTTTCATCCATCATGCTGGCCAGGACATCTCCTCCTAACCTATATTCATGTCATTGGTTACTTCTCCCCAGATGAAGCACTCTGCATTTATCCTCACTGAACTGCATCTGGTTCTGCTCCTCCCACCTTTCCAGCTTCTCCAGGTCCGCTTGGACCCGCATCCTATCCCCTAGCATGACTGCTTTCCCAATAACTTAGTATTGTCTGCAAACTTGGCCAGTGTGCTTTCCATAGCCTCATCTAAATCGTTGATAAAGATGTTGAATAGCACGGGGCCAAGAACCAAACCCTGCAGGACACCATTAGCCACCTCCTGCCAAGAAAACAGTCCAAATCCTTCACATCTCTTCCTTGCTTGCCTTTGCCCTTCTCTCAAATAAAATGCTTTATTCCTTTCGTTACTGTCCACCATTCCTGTCCTAATTTAAAACAATTTTTCAGTGTCCTCCAACTTTCGCACCTCTCCTAAAACCTTTGGCAGCATTTCTCTTCTTGTAGTAAACATACATTTAACTGCCATACCCCTGCCTCCCTTGTCTGACAGTTACCAATTTGTAAAATCATGTTAAGTATAAAATGATCTGTAAAAGCCACTGGTCAAATACTTCCACACCCTTTGATATATAAAAACAAAACCAATTCTAAATTAGATCTGGGGAGGGGAGCCATTCTCATAAAACCTTCTCCCCGCTCCACACATCCATTAAAAGGTTTGCTTTTAAAATCTGTTTTAAATGCCTCAATGTGCTTTCTATTCCAGCAGTTTCCAAGCTTCCCTTCCAGCCACCTTCCTCTAAGATATAATTAATATCACCTGTTATGATCCGCAGCCTCCCTCCCAACATGTTAACTGCTAATCTTTTACAAAATTCACTGTGTGCCAACCTCTTTGCTGGGACATAGACATTAAAAAACTCCACCACTGTTTCTTTTACCTTTAATGTAAGGTGCAGCAACCTCTCACATACTACCTCCTCCACTCCTGCCACCTCAATTCCAGGTTTCTTACTAAAGTCACCACACCTGCCACTATGTTCTCATTCATCCCTGACCAAAATGACAGGCCCTACTTCTGCCTGCTTTCAAATCTTAGGTACTCTTTGCCACCTGGAATTCCACATTCCTGAAAACATAAAATGTCTGTATTTATCTGGTTTAAAAACGGTTCCACACGTGCCCACCTTCTTTTTAAAACATTTCTCACGTTTAAAGATGCCGCCACCATCACCACCAATAAAATACTTATCAAAATTATCTTACATCTATACGTCATCTTCACTACTTAAAAAGGGCAAAGTTGTCTCTTCTTCTGTCCTCATCCCTGTTGCAAATAAAAACTTCTGTATTTGTGCTGTATCTAAAAAACCTTCCACCACTTTACTCTCTTGGTGTTTAAAAATCTCCTCTGCCCACTCTAGGCTAGGTGCTAAGGTGACCACAAGCAAGAAACTTAGTTCCTTTTTCCTTCTTTCTAGGCTTGTCTTAAGTTTCTTTGTTACTTTCTTTTTTCTTTTCCCCAGTGCAACATGGCTCCCCCTTTCCACCACCATTTCTCCTCTCTGCTCTTCCTCACTCACCTCCTTCCTTCTTTTCCTCATTTCTCTCATCCTCCTCCCATCCCTTCTTCACTCTGCACAGACTCAATCACACTTCCACTTCTTCACCACCACTTTCTGCTTTCTTTCCTTCCTTCTCCACCATTTCCTCCTCCTGTGGGGTCTCTGGGACTACACTGTGTTCTACCCTTATCTCTCCTTCCTTTCCCTCCTGCTTTCCCCTCTCTCCTTGCTATGTCTTTCTTTCCTCTTTCACCTCTCTGATCTCGCGTGTCTGGGTTCATACTCTGTGAATGATGCTGGACAAGCCCTGAACACATCACACAGATTACGCTTCCAAGGGGCTTTGCCATCACTTCCCATATTTAAAACATATTGTCTCTGCACAATTTACAGCCATATGTCCTTCTCATGTTGGCTGCACCTCACTGGTTGCCTGAAATATATTTCCCCTTAAAATTACCCTTCCCCTCCAGGACCCTGTCTACACTCCATATTGATCCCAAATTTTGTCAACCCATTGCATTTTTTCCATTTTCCCTTACAAACACATTTTTTTTACATCTTCTGCGACTATCAGATCTAAAAACATACACAACACTACTACCCTCTCCTAGGCTGCTTCATCGGATTAAAACTTGTAAAATTTTAACACAGCGCTTAGTGTATTCTTTATATGAATCCCAAAAACAACTGTAACTTTCAGTCATGTAAAATGTGCATTTCCCCCACACACTTATTTGTGAACGTGATTAAGCTGTTCAACTTGTCAAGCCTCACTTTTAAAACTCCTAACAAAATGTCTTCCATATCAGCTTTTCTCTGACCTGTTACCCTGTTTTTTCCTCTGCCAAAACCACTTTAATCAACAACTATCTCTGTTCTGTTGCTTTTCTTGCCTTTTCCCTTTCTCACACACCTCCAGTTTTCCACACACTGCCATCTGTCTATCCACTTCTTCATCTTGTTCTCAGCAACATCTAATCCGCCAGTTGCCCTTGTCCATGCTCTGCCTGCCATGTTCCTCCAAACCATCTGCTCATTGTTCATTCTTCCACCACCAGTTCTGCCTTTACAGTCTTCCATTGTCACCTACTGTTTCCCAACCATAACCTGTTGCCAGATCATCCACCACTGATGCCCATCCTCTGTCACAATATTATCCAGTCCAAAGTAGTGATCCACTGGCACCCTCTGCTCCCACTGCTCTAGCGAGCTCAGCCCTCCAGTGTAGATCAAGCCTCTGTTTGGCCTTTACCAAAAAGCCAAGAAGCAATGTACTGGGAACCTTTTTTCTGTGGCCCTTAAAAAAAAAGGGCAGGTACAGATGTACCCACAGGGAACTGATACAAGGCCCAGAAGCACTGCAGCATCAGGCCAGCGTCAGGAGGGCCAGAGCCAGCATCAACACGTTCCCCACGGCACCAAAAATGCCACATTTTTTTATATGCTGATGGGAACCCAACACAAGGCTAGGTTAAGGCAACCCAACTAAATTAAATATAGTGCCCTTCAGTGCCAATGCTTTTTCAAGGCATGCCGAACCACTACATCAAATATATTTTGACTTCCTCTTCACTCCCACAGCTGAGCAGTACCTTTCTTTCTCATTTCCAATGATTCCTGTTTCTGCATCAGCCTTAAATGTCTGGCAAATAGCACCAAACTTCTGTGTAGCTGAAAGACTCTGTCACCCCCTCTCTCAGCCTGTTGCATGTGATTAGTGTGGCACCCCCCACTATGGGGTGGAAACAGACCAGACAGCCCTGGGCCTCATCAGCATATACAGTTTTGAAGCATCTCAAAACTCATTGCAAGAACACCTAGTTCCACTCATGAGCAGGGGCTAAATAGCACATGGATCCTTTTGGTGGGGCAGGGAGCACACACACAGTGAGCAGAGCTGGGCTGTGGGGTCACCATGGCTTGAAACACTGTTGACTCTGCTGGGGTGCAGTCCAATAACCTACATGATAAGTCATAAGCCTTTTCACTCTAAATTAATATGCATGGCTCGTTCTCGCTCCTGTAACCATACGGCTGAGGGCAAGCAAAACTTAGGGACATCCAAACCCCAAGCTTCCAGGCTGGGGCCTGCACATAGGATGGCTGCCAAATGCTTTGGAAGCAGCTGAAGCCCCAGGCAGGGGTGGAGGACATTTGCTGGTAGTAGGGCCACATATGGTTCTTGAATGACTCGCGCATTTGGAAATAATTTGGCTGATTTGGCTTGGAACTCAAAAAATGTTCCTTTAAAAAAAAAAGCATGGTTTGTACTATGTATGAGTAGGTGTAAAACAGCACTCAAAACTGTGTTTATGGAGTACCTGTGCTGAAACCTGTAGTACTCAGTGTCGGGGTCCGTCAGACCTACAGTAGTCTTCCACTCTCACCTGCTTGCCCTCTGCAGTTTCTGTCCTTTTTCCCCTCCACCCTCCATTACTGTCACATGCAGCTCATTTCAACCTTGTGCTCAGGATGGAGCAGAGCCTAAGCAATGTCTGACAGTAAAGAGGGGCAGGAAGGGTGCAGAGGGAAAAGTTGGGGGGTGGGAAGTGCAGAGAGCAAGGGGGTGTGGAAGAAATCAAACTTCGCGTTGTGGTTGAATCAGAACTGACAGAGCCAGCTTTTCTTTATTTAGGGCTATACTGTGATCACAGGGAGGATTTCATACAGCAAGGGGAATCGCCCACTTGTCTGTTTCAAAGGAATCTTCCCCTTCTTTTAGTTTTCAAGCATTTTTATACTTAAGACAGATAAAGAGAAAAAAATACGACCTTGGAGAACTAAAACAAGTTTACTTAATTGGACCTCTGTGCACAGGGTAATAAAACATGCAGAATTTTTTTTATCTCAAAACATATAACTGAAATAAGCAGTATAAGCACTTCTGGTCTCTCTCTGTTTTTCTAGTCAGGGAGGCCAAAAGCCTGACTAAATTCACTCCTACAGGGGACACCTGACCCCTCCCCACCGCCACTATTTTCCTTGCTGTAGCAGTGGGAGGGGGTTGAATTCAAGACAACTCTCTGATAATCAAACTAAACACTTGGAAAATTGTAACAAATTTACAGATTTTCCATATATAGAATCTAATTATTATAGTCATCTTATATTTGAGTAAACATGGTATTAATACTATACTTTACAGGAAACTTTCAAAGCACAGAGTGCAAACTAGTGTGAGGAGGTTAAAGTTTATCCTCACACAGCTAGAGATGCTACAGAACAAATCCAGAGGGGACACATACAGTAGTTGAACTTACACACAGTAAGTTAGTATAATTGAGCCTGACTCAAAAGGGAAATTCAATTACAACCTCCTATAGTTCCTGCAACCTGGAAATGATGCCTATTTAAAGTAGGAGGTGACATACTTGGTCACTTCCTTATGTTTTCTGTTTAGTTACCTATCCCATTAGGCTGCTGTGAACCTCCACAGTGTGGGTTACAATAAGCCTATCCTTGACCTCTAAAAGCCAAATTCAAAAGGAAGGTGCTAGTGGCTGGAAGTTACACGTTGATCTGCAGATATGAACAAGATGTAAAAAGTGAAACAGGTGGAAGCAGGTGTCCACTATATCAGTTCTTGTGACAGAGGCAAATCCAACTGACTAAAAGAGGCAGGAGCTATTTCATGTTTCTGAATTGTGGCTATCATTGAACAGCGCATCACCACTAACAAAGATATATGGGTGCACACCCATTCCCCAACATTTTCTTGCTCCTTCCTTGAGCTTGGCTGATTTGGGCTGGTCCACTGGGAAGCCAGGAGAGGAAGGTATGTGGGGTTTCTGTTTAGGGCCAAGCACATTTGAAAATGTAAATCTCTCCATTCTAGCATATGAACTGCAGGGGATTCCAAACAGGATGGTGGACTGTGCTTGCCCAGGTGTGAGCTTGATAAAACATGCCCTTCCAGGTCAGGTAGAGTCAAGCATGGGGTTCATTTCAGACTACTGGAGCTAGATCAGTGCCAAATAAGTAAAAAATATAATTAGGCCCTGAAGCTGGACACAACGCCCATCTCCCTATCAGGCTTTGCTCTCTGTCTCCAGACTGTCTCTGGACTCCTTGACACAGTCTTGTCAGTAATAATGATGCCCACTGCTCAGCATAATCCATGTTTGCTGGAACAGCACACAGGGGCTTGCGGCCCTTGCCTTTTAATGGGGAAAACTCTGTGTTGCTTGCTCCTTTGAAGCAAACAAGCTTCCCTGGCACAGTCCCAGGCTCCCTGCCTCAATTCAGGCCCCTAAGAACAGCAAATGTTTGCTGTGCACAGCATAGAGGCTAATACAGAGTTCCTCCTTACCTGCTCTTTATCAGTGAATCTTTCTTGGATCACTTGACCAGTGACCCCAAGGGCTGTAAAGCTTCCAACAGCTTGCTAGAACCAGAAAAGCAAATTGCAAGGCTCATTCTTTCTGTGAATGGGCCATTAACAAACAGTATGACATGACATACTTCTCCTAATGACCAAGTTGCATGGTTTGGGCAACTTCTGATGGGGATGGCAGTTCTCTCCCTGGGGAAGGAACAGTAGTCTCATTTGGATTTTTATCTCTAGACTGGGAAAAACACCCCGGGGCCATGTACAATGCAGAACCACTGTGTTCTGGGCCAAAGCAGGTGGGCTGTCTTGACCAGGAAGTATTTCCATCCTTGTTTGCTGGGATGCAATATTGCAAGTTTGCTGAGTGAAAAAAAAATCTTCCCATTTCTGAATTATTAACTGTACAACTACAGCACTCCTAGGACATAGCTACCTCTCCAGGGGTGAACAACAGCTGAGCAGTCTGCACACTGCACAGCACTAGGGGATAAGGAGAAAGCTGGTCTCAGGCCACTGGGGCAAACCCCTCCTCTTCCAAAAAGCTTTCCATAGGTACTTAGGCACCTGTGACAAACAGACAACTGAGGTTTTGGAGGTCTTGCCTTGAAGATGAGGACATGATAAACTGCCTTGTTTGCCAACCTCAGCAGAACAGAAGCCTGAATCAACCCTGCTGGGGTTTCAAGATGTGGTTCCATGCTGTCTGAGCGCCACAGGGGCAGAGTGGCTGAGGCATCTCATTAGGGCTCCAGACTTGCAGAGAAGGCAACCCCAGCTGTTGGTTGACTAGTTGTTCAGGCCAGGGAGTCAAAAGAGCCTGGATGTAACAGTGGCCCCACCATTCCCTTGTGTGCTGCTGGCTACAGAATTTAGTGTGTTTGTTAACCACTAGGTTCAGGGTGACTTTTGAAGGAGTCAGGAGTTTTCCCTCCAGGCTGTCTAGAGTGCTACATTTTTTGAGAGCATATGAGTGAGATCTTTCACATATGTTCACAAATTTCCTTAGAGGTAGCTGCCATTTCAAAGATGGGCAAATGAAGGCAATGACTTGCCCCGGGTCACAGAAGAAGCATGACCAAAGCAAGATCTGGACCCAGACCACCTCCTGACAGAACAGTTTCCAAACCAAAGGTTCACTCATCTGACTGAAAACTAACAGCTATAAACTCTTGAATAGTAATTGCAAAAGCACCTCAAATAAGAGAAAAGTTTAATCTGTAAAATTCACTGGTCAAAACAGATGCAGTAACTAAGGCATATAGGATCACTAGAATGCCTTGAGATTCACTTCATTGTTCCTAGTCTGGAATCTTTCTGTTACATACCTGGAGTGACTGCTTCCACTTTGTTGGTCAGTGGGTTGAAGGCTAGACCCACCACTGAAGGCTGGTTCTAAAGAGGATGGACCTGGAGTGTTCTCAGTGGTGGCAGATGACAGAACAAGGAGCAATGGTCTCAAGTTGCAGCAAGGGAAGTTTAGGTTAGATATTAGGAAAAACTCTCACTAGGAGGGTAGTAAAACACTGGAATGGGTTACCCAGAAAGATTATGCACTCTCCATCCTTGTGCTCCCAGGAATCTGTCTGCACCCATCCGGTCTCGTACAGGCACTCTCTAGCAACCTTAGAGCACACACCCAGTTCTGGCTACAGGGTATGCCCCTGAGACCTGTGCACTGGGTCGCATTCACCACCGAGGGGGACCCCTACACTCGACTGCTACGACTTGATCTTCTTTTCTTCAGTGGTGGGGCTCCTCCTCGAGGATTCTCGCAGACCAGGTGCTGCCCCTTACAGGCATTCTTGGGGCTCCACTTCCCCTACACCCAAGCGATACACCAGCCCTCTGGACAGCGGGATGATGGATTGCCAGCCTGTCCCCCTTGATGTTCTCACCTACTGTCTTCTCTCCTTGTCCGTCCCTCGAAGCCCCTTTATCCTGGATGACTGCGGGGTGCATGACCGTCCTCATCGCTGCATCTACTCTTCCTCTGAGACGTTGTGGTCCATTGTGGTCCGTTGTGTTGCCTCAGCTCCGTCTCTTGATCCGGGGTCACATGGGGATTCCTTCCCCAGTCTGGGCTCTATGCACCCTCCAAAATAATGAATAAAAGAAAAAAAAAAAGGAAGAAAGGAATAGGCGGGGTATGGGCCTCAGCCCGCCCCACTCGCAGATCCGGCATCTGTGGTCCTTGGGATCCCTCAACACCATCCTTCTTGGCCCAGCTGCCCTGCTGGTACTTCTTTCAATGGATCCGGGACCCCTCCTGTGGGTTCCTGTCTGGCCCCTTGCTGAGCTGCGAACACTGCTGATGTGTAGCCTGGGGAGCAGCTTCGCCTTCTGGCTCCAGCATTGCTGCCCCCGCTTCCATTTCCCCACCACTGGCTTTTAAATCAGCCGGGCGGCAGTTTTTGATGATGTCATCGGCCGCTGCTGTTCCCAGCCAGCAATAAAAGTGGCGACTCTTCTCGGAGTGGCTCAGTTTCTCCTAAAAATGGTAAGTGTGCCCTCTTTTCAGGGCTTTTCATTTCTTTCTTTAGGCAGGTCAGCCCTGCCTCGGGTCCTGCCGTAGGAGGGTGCTTTATGGCCTCCGCTTGTCTCCCCCTGTGACACTGTCACAGGCCTGATTTTCATCTGCTGCAATTTTGAAGAATTAAACCACCTCCATGGGAAGAAACTGTTTTGTGTAAGGACCTGCACACAGTGTCCCCCTGCTTTGCCCTTTTCTCTTTAAAAAATGCATAAGATAGTTTTATTTTAAAGCACTTTGCAAGTCAGCTTCTAAGAAGCACCTTTATTCTTTAACATTTGAACTGTCATGCTACAGGGAAGTCTTGGAAGGAAAGGCCAGGCCTACTCGAATAGCTCTAGTTACACGTGGCCAATTTAAGGGGCTCCTTTAACTGAGATGAGTAGTCCTTGATTTCTGATTCATACCCCTGGCATTTTTCCTTGTATTACAGTAACACCTTGAAGCCTCAACCGACATCAAGGTCCTGTTGCATTAGTTTCTGTGTAAATGAATAACCAGGAACAAATCCTCTTCCCTACAGTGACAGCAATCTTCTATGCAGAGAAAGGTCTGATCTGTTGTCAGTGCAATATTACGGAGCAAGACTCTGTTAATTCAGGACTGGGAAGCCTGCAACATATCTGTGGTTTTGCCACTGTGCCTAATGCATAACCTCAGGCTTGCTACTTCATTCTTCAGAGTCTCCATTTTTCCCATCTGAGAAACAAGGATAACAGTGCCCTACCTCCCAAGTGATCCATAAGTCTACTTTCACTAATGCCAGTTAAAATTTCCAGAGGGGAGAAACTGTAAAAAGCAAAAGTACCATCATTGGTAATCTACCTTCAAGTGGCAGGAAAGGTCCAATGTAAGGATCCCTCACAAAGAAGAATGTTACTAATAATCTGTCACTTCCTAGCCAGCTCTTTGGTTCCTACCTGTACCCAGTGCTGTTCCTGCCCACGACAAGGTGCTTTGGTTGCTTGCCACATGTGTACATGTTAAAGTCATTCTCTGGCACCAGGTCCACATCATGGAAAATGAAGCAGTCCCAGTTTTCCTCTTTCAGAGCCTCTAGGTAGCCTACATTCAGAAGTTTAGCTCGGTTAAATTTGGTATTGCCAGCCTGCAAAAAAAGAGAGGAAAACAAAGCATTCACTAAGTCAGTAAACTAGCATAGCTACCTGGGTTCTGTCCTCATTACAGTTTAAAATATCTGTTATAGCTTTACAGTACAGTACCAAGTTCTCATGTCACACACACAGCTATACCTTAAGATTAGATTTGGGAACCAGAAGAGGCCAATAATGTGGAGCATATCTTCACAATCTCCCTGTTACGAATGATCATGCACAGTTGGGTTATCTAACTAAGAGAAGCAGCTATGTTGAGCAATAAGATTCTACTCCTATTATTGACCTTGCCCAGTAATTTCCGATCAGGCCAAGTAATGAAAGAGCCATTGATGCACAAGATAAACAGTGGAAGGGTTGCTTATAGCTGTGTTAGCACACATTACAGAAACATAACAAGCAGTTATATCATTACCATATGGGTGCTTTCCATCCAGAGATTTCAGAGTGCTTGGCAAGACTAGACAGGTATTATCCTCATGTGGAGGAGCTGAATTCAAGAGAATTTAGGTGCCTTACCTAAGAGCATACACTATGTGGCAAAGCTGGGAATAAATACAGGTCTCCTGATGCACAACCTGTTAGCTGATTTGCAGTCTACACACACTGCACTGTGTTAACATTATGAGACAGTGACTCCTAGTTTGGGCATTTATTTCACTTTTTTTCTGATTTTAAGTATTTAATCTTTCTTGTAGTTTGGTGCCTTTTATATCATAGAAAACACAGAAAATAAGGGTTGGAAGGGACCTCAGGAGGCCATCTAGTCCAACCCCCTGCTGAAAGCAGCACAAACCTCAATCTTCTCTTCACTAGACTAAATAAGATCAGTTCCCTCAGCCTCTTCTCAGAAGTCATGTACCCCAGTCCCCTCGCTATTTTCATTGCCCTCTGCTGGAATCTCTCCAATTTGTCCACATCCTTTCTCTAGTGGGGGTGGGGGAACTGAACACAGTACTCCAGATGTGTCCTCACCACTGCTGAATAGAGGGCGATAATCACTTCCCTTGATCTACTGGCAGTACTCCTACCAATGCAGCCCAGTGTGCCGTTAGCTTTCTTGGCAACAAGGGCACACTGTTGGTTCATATTCAGCTTATTGTCCACTGTAATCACCAGGTCCTTTTCTGCAGAGCTACTGCCCAGCCAGGCAGCCCCCAGCCTGTACTGGTGCATGGGATTGTTCCATCCTAAGTGCAGGAATTTGCACTTGTCTTTGTTGAACCTCACAAGATTTCTTTTGGACCAATCCTCCAATTTCTCTAGGTCTCTCTGAATCCTAGTCCTACCCTCCAGCATAACTACTACTTCCCACAGCTTGGTGTCATCTGCAGACTTGCAAAGGGTGCACTCCATCCCATCTTCCAGGTCATTTTGAAGATATTAAATAAAACCAGCCCCAGAACCAACCCCTGGGGCACTCCACTTGAGACCAGCTTCCAACTAGACATCATGCCATTGACTACTACTCTCTGAGCCTGATGATCCAGCCAGTTTTCTATCCACCTTGCAGTCTATTCATCCAGCCCACACTTCCTTAACTTTCCTGCAAGAATGTTGTGGGAGACCATATCAAAAGCCTTGCTAAAGTCAAGGTACACCACATCCACTGGTCTCCCCACATCCACAGAGCCAGTCATCTCATCAAAGAAAGCAATCAGGTTGATCAGGCATGACTTGCCTTTGGTGAATCCATGCTGACTATTCTTAATCACCTTCTTTTCTTCCAAGTGCTTAAAAAAATGGATTCCTTGAAGATCTGCTCCATGATTTTCCAGGAACTTGGTGAAGCTGACTGGTCTGTAGTTCCCTGGATCCTCCTTTTTCCCTTTTTAAAATATGGGCACTATGTTTGCCCTTTTCCAATCATCCAAGACCTCTCCTGATCACCATGAGTTTTCAAAGATGAAGGCCAATGGCTCTGCAATCTCATCAGCCAACTACCTCAGCACCCTCAGATGCATCCTGTCTGGCCCCATGGACCAGTATATGTCCAGCTTTTCTAAGTAGTCCCAAACCTGTTCTTTCACCATTGAGGGCTGCTCACCTCCTCTCCAAACTGTGCTGCCCGGTGCAGTAGTCTAGGAGCTGGCCTTGCCTATGAAGACTGAGGTGAAAAAGGCATTGAGTACTTAAGTATGTTCTGCATCATCTGTCACTAAGTTGCCTCCTCCATTCAGTAAAGTACCCACACTTTCCTGATCTTCCTCTTGTTACTGACATGCTTGTAGAAACCCTTCTTTTTACCCTTCACACCCCTTGCTAGCTGCAACTCCAATTGCACTTTGGCCTTCCTGACTTCATCCCTGTATGCACAAGCAACACTTTTATATTCTTCCCTAGTTGTTTGTCCAAGTTTCTACTTCTTATAAGCTTCCTTTTTCTGATTTAGTTTATTGAAGAATTTCCCGCTAAGCCAAGCTGGTCTTCTGCCATACTTGCTAG